TTCTTTCTTTCTTTCTTTCTTTTTTCTTTTTTCTTTCTTTCTTTCTTTCTTTCTTTCTTTCTTTCTTTCTTTCTTTCTTTCTTTCTTTCTTTCTTTCTTTCTTTCTTTCTTTCTTTCTTTCTTTCTTTCTTTCTTTCTTTCTTTCTTTCTTTTGTTTTTCTTACTTTATTGCGTGTACATTTCTCTTAAAATCCGTAACAATTCTAATTAATTCTTTTTCTGCTCGGTAACGTTACCTCTGAACACAATAAACCCTGTGAGACATAGAGTCGGTAGGTCTAAGGGGCTACGCCAAAAAAATTGATCTTAAAAAGGGCTCTGGAAGACAAAATTCAGGAACCGCTGACCTACGAGAACAAAAAGGTAATACTCACCATTCTAAGTCCGATGTCAGACTTGCTCAGTCTGTAGCCTGCAGTTTCCAGTGCGCAGATGAAATAGTTAACGACACCCCAGATCACTATTCTTCTACTTGCGCTATGCCAGAAAATCATAAACATGAAACACAAGCCGGAAATTAGGAGTTGCTTCAGAACACCCCGTCTCGATCCACCCAAAGGTATAAAAATACATCTTTTCATGAAAATATATATTCCTTCATCAAAACTTTTCCATAGGTCAGCACCAGAATATGAGAAATGAAGACAGCGAGGTGCAGACACAGGAGCAATGCCGTCAAGTCTAGACAATTGGATGCCGAACCCATAGGTTATAAAATATTTAGTCTGAAAATAGCAGCTGTGACAGTAAAGGATTCCGTAGAATGTCCAATCCGACACACTTTCTAGCAACTCTTCATCGTAACCAAGGCACGTATAGTACAGGAAATGAACATGAAATTCAATGAAGAACATAAAAAAGGCTATTTTTATCAACTGCTTTGTGATATCATAAACACTTTCTGTGAAAATGGAAGATTTAAACGAAGATTTCACTTGATTATGGAAATTACAATACTCATAAAATGGACCCCAAAAGAAGGTGGGATAGTAAAACAGATAAAACAAGAAGTCTAGGAAAGAAGGATCGCTTTCAACAATATCTATTTCTACATTGATCTCATTGCCGGGATTCATGGAATGTGTCGATTTATTCTCGCTTGTACCACTGTACGCAAATGTTTGTCCGGACTGTTCGCTGACAGTTTTCTTTGTGATGGTTTGCTGATCTCTGTATCTGCATTTCTCCAGACCAAAACTGATGATTTTAATGCAGAATAAATTGACGGAGATTTGCAACTGGGATTTCAGTAGAATTTTCTCAAGCAGCAAATCGTCTTCCTGTTGCAGATGTAAAGAAATAAGCAAATAAACATACAAACAACTATTCATCATTGTCTTCGTCATCATCATCATCAATTTCCACGTCGTTTGTTGAGCGGCGTGGGGAGGAATAGTTTGCGATCTATTGCTTGATGGACAGCGATGGCTTTATCATTCCGCGTCGATGATGAAACTCTTTGAAGTCATCAATCCATATTCTGATAGGGTGACCTCTTGCTTTCACATCGGATCTTATCACGTGCTGTGCTCGCGTTGGTAGTTTTTCTGGCTGCATTCTTACCAGATGACGAGGCTCTCTGATCTTCTGTTTCTCAATGAGATAGCTACATTGTGTTGTTCCCACAACCTGTCTGATAATATCATTTCTAACTTTGTCTCGGATGGTTGAGTCGGCAGTTTTTCTCAATTATCTCACTTCACAGGTGTTATTGTTGCTTAGGTTAGCCTTTGATATTGTTTAGTTCAACCACTGGTGGCACAGTATTGGTATAAATGTGACGTTTATAATCTGTTTCTTGACCCTCATAGCTATATTTAGATGCCTTCATAACGGTGTCGATTGGTACATAAGTGTAATGGCTCGTTGGCATGTATGTATGTATGTATGTATGTCTGTGTGTCTGTCTGTCTGTCTCTCTGTCTGTCTGTCTGTCTGTTTGTTTGTTTGTCTGTCTGTACGTCTGTCTGTCAGTACGTCTGTCTGTACGTCTGTCTGTCAGTACGTCTGTCTGTCTGTCTGTCAATCTGTGTGCGTGCATGTGTGCATGTGTGCCTGTGTGCGTGTGTGCATGTGTGTATGTGTGTATGTATGTATGTGTGTGAATGTCTGTGTCTGTCTGTTTGTGTGTCTGTTTGTGTGTGTGTGTGTGTGTCTGTGTGTCTGTCTGTGTGTATGTATGTCTGTGTGTATGTATGTCTGTGTGTATGTGTGTGTGCGTGTGTGTGTGAAGAATTTTTTTGGCTTGCCTACCGATTGCCAAGGACTCGCAACGCATTACCTTTCAATATAAGTGCTTACTTGACGAGGCTAACAGTGACTATTGTACAGACCACATTTTTCACTTTAAAATTTCAGCCAAAAATGTAGTCACAACCTTACTTATCCGCTGCACCTTCACGAATACAGATGTAAGATCAGTCGCACCTCGAGATAAATACAAAGACAATTTTTAGCACGCTGCGGTGGACATTTTTTGCAGTATGATACACTTTGAGTGTGAAACAAGGAAAAACAAAACAACAACTCTTTTCGATAGTGGAAAGACAATTTAAATTTTAACTTGCAAGTATTTTCATGCCTTCTTTAATAATGTCACAATTTACAGCCGACTTTTCATGATTTTCGCTGCGGCACCCCTGGCATACGCACCCAGTTTAATAACCTCTGCTATAATGCCTCGGTCGAGTCAGCAAACAAAGACGTTGCCAGCTGCTGTATCACTCAACTGGATCGCAGTTTCCCCCGCTACGACAGACTTAGGTTACAACAACTATTGTGTTAATGAGAGAGTTATTTCAGTCCATCGCAGTGTATGCAAAACGGTTGTAAGGTAACCACAATTAGTATTCGGCCCGACCACAAGTATTCGGCCAAATACCGAAAAGTTATCAAGTCCACTATTCGGCCCCGAAGCGAATACGAAGCGAATATTCGGTACAGTCCTAGTATGTATGTATGTACGTATGTATGTATGTACTTACGTACGTATGTATGTATGTATGTATGTATGTATGTATGTATGTATGTATGTATGTATGTATGTATGTATGTATGTATGTATGTATGTATGTATGTATGTATGTATGTATGTATGTATGTATGTATGTATGTATGTATGTATGTATGTATGTATGTATGTATGTATGTATGTACATACGTACGTACGTATGTATGTATGTATGTATGTATGTATGTATGTATGTAGGTAGGTAGGTAGGTAGGTAGGTAGGTAGGTAGGTAGGTAGGTAGGTAGGTAGGTAGGTAGGTAGGTAGGTAGGTAGGTAGGTAGGTAGGTAGGTAGGTAGGTAGGTAGGTAGGTAGGTAGGTAGGTAGGTAGGTAGGTAGGTAGGTAGGTATGTATGTATGTATGTATGTATGTATGTATGTATGTATGTATGTATGTATGTATGTATGTATGTATGTATGGAATTATATTGCTCTGCATTTTTTCCTATCGCTTACAGTGAACAGGTTATTTTTTAAAATCATGTTTTGCAGTTATTTTTATCAACACCATAAATCTGTGTCTCAGACAGTACATTTGTCTGTCTCCCAAACTATTATATTCTTGTGTTAGTATTACAAGGGATGCCTCTGTGCACTTATGGTTAATAACTAAAGATACGGCAACGGTTTAGCAAAGATGAAGTAGAAGACAGAATATTGAATATATGGTTTTAGATAGATCTCTGTTTCCACGAGACCTACATATAGGACAACGGTGAAGAACGAGATGATGTAGACGACTAGAGAACAAGACTCTCTTTTACTATGCTGGGCCAAGCAATGCCATTTAATATAGTGTGTGTGTGTGTGTGTGTGTGTATGCATGTGTGTGTATTACATGTGTGTGTATTACATGTGTGTGTATTACATGTGTGTGTATTACATGTGTGTGTATGCATGTGTGTGTATTACATGTGTGTGTATTACATGTGTGTGTATTACATGTGTGTGTATTACATGTGTGTGTATTACATGTGTGTGTATTACATGTGTGTGTGTGTGTGTGTGTGTGTGTGTGTGTGTGTATGCATGTGTGTGTATTACATGTGTGTGTGTGTGTGTGTGTGTGTGTATACATGTGTGTGTATTACATGTGTGTGTGTGTGTGTGTGTGTGTGTGTGTGTGTGTGTGTATACATGTGTGTGTATTACATGTGTGTGTATTACATGTGTGTGTGTGTGTGTGTGTGTGTGTGTGTATACATGTGTGTGTATTACATGTGTGTGTATTACATGTGTGTGTGTGTGTGTGTGTGTGTGTGTGTGTGTGTGTATGCATGTGTGTGTATTACATGTGTGTGTGTGTGTGTGTGTGTGTGTGTATACATGTGTGTGTATTACATGTGTGTGTGTGTGTGTGTGTGTGTGTGTGTGTATGCATGTGTGTGTATTACATGTGTGTGTGTGTGTGTGTGTGTGTGTGTGTGTGTATGCATGTGTGTGTATTACATGTGTGTGTGTGTGTGTGTGTGTGTGTGTGTGTGTGTGTGTATGCATGTGTGTGTATTACATGTGTGTGTGTATGCATGTGTGTGTATTACATGTGTGTGTATTACATGTGTGTGTGTGTATTACATGTGTGTGTATGCGTGTGTGTATGCATGTGTATGTGTGTGTATGTGTGTGTGTGTATGTGTGTGTGTGTGTGTGTGTGTATGCATGTGTATGTGTGTGTGTGTGTGTGTGTGTGTATGCATGTGTGTGTACAAGCTGCGAAGAAATAACATTTTTAATCTATGTAGTTAGTTCGATATGATTTGATGCAATTTTGTGAATGACTGTATGTAGATGTTGTTATATGATTCGCAGTAATACAAAACTAGTTTATATTTTAACCTAGTGAAACAATACTGCTTATTATCTGAAGTGAATGGCAAGCGAATATAAATGGATTAATTCATGAATCAAATGCCAAGCCATCACCGAGAGTCAGCAGCCATATGTTTTGAAGCGAGAATACATTGAATATACTATTCTGATCACATAATGAGGCAAAGATGAGATGAGACACCGATCTCTTGTTTGTTCAATTTGAATTACCCACTTTCAGCCACTGCCTGGGGAGCTAGCTTTATTATGGCAAAAATTTTGCTGCTATTTCTTTGCGCAATGTTTGGTGCTAGTATTTTATAGTGTCAGGTCTGAATCTGATTAGGTTAGTGAGGTCCCATATCCAAGATGTGGTCTATTTTGCGTTGGTCTCAATGGTTATTTATGACAATACTCAAAGCTACATTTTTTTTTTTAAATTTAAAATTTTTAATTAAGGTCACCTCTTTCCACGTCTAACTTTGAACTTTTAGCGTATTCATTATGATTTCTCATTTCACTTCTATCTAATTGTGTATCTGTGCATGCTGTACGTCTACAGCTTCTTTGTCTTTTGGGAGGCTTTTATCTCATTCTCCAGCTTGGTAATCATGCCTTTTAATTACGACTTATCCAGGGATGGACATCTCTTGGGTGTTTGTGTCTCCTCTCGCCTCTTTATTGGGTAAGTTGTACTCGGCAGCTCAAATATCTGGTTCCATGCAGGTGGCAGCAGTTGACCCACTACCTCTCTGTTGGGCTTTACGAAGTCCTCCTCCTTCTGGGCCAGTGGCAATTCTTTAAAAGGGTGAGGCTCTGCACAGTACCTACACATGTCCTGTTTGCTGAGGCAAGTTGATCTGAAATGCCAGATCTTCTGACACTTAGAACACTGCAATACATGGATGTATATGGTACATACAGCTCAGGTCTCTGTATCCTCTGGTCTATCATCACTCTGTCTAGTATATTTTTTAATTCCGTGGTCACCATAGCCACCTTTTTTGTGCTGCATCTGGTACTGAGTAGTTCAGTCTGAATGATTCTGAGTGCTGGATTTTCAGTCTTCATCTGATCTTGTATTTCCTGGATGGTTGACTGCAGCTTGATGCGTTGAAGCATGAGCCAAATTAAATTAGGCAGCGAAGACGTCCAGGAGACACAAGGACATGTTTGTACCGAACCGGATTCTACACATGATAATGAGAGGATTGCATAGACCAGAATGAATAGAAAAATAAAACGCCAGTCACCAGAGAAGCTGAATGATAAGAATAATGACGCTGATAATGATGATTATGATGATGGTTTTAACAACAACAACAACAAAGTAAAAAATAAAATAAACTGTGAAAATGTAAACAGCAGTTTTCTAACTCGCTCACTCTACTCGCAGGAGTTCTTTTGTCCCATGGGAGGGGATGGCGGGGAGGAAAGGGTGGGGGGGGGGGGAGGGAGACCCACTGCGACTTACCAAGCGCTTGCAAAGAAAGATGAATAATTAAAGATTAACTAAAATAAGTGTTTGGCAGACAGGTACAGATACTGCAACATAACTGTAGAATGAGAAGGGGGAGTAGGAAGAGAATACGAAGACGGTGATGATGAATTATTATAATGAACTCACTTGACCGTTCACTTGAAAGAACCTGCAAGTCTGAGATAGCATTACATAAAGGATATTCCATGGCAGAGCTAGCCACACGGTGTTCGTCCATATAAACCATCCGATGTGTGTGTTGTCCTGGAAAAAATATATACACATCATCATTCACACCTTCACCTGTTGTAAGTGTTAAACCAAAAGGAGATAAGACGTTGCTGGGCATTTACTATACCAAGATAAGTCTTCTTCTTCTTCGCGTTCACCAACTGTAAACTCCGGTGGAAAGTTCTGGCTGTTCGTCAACTTACGGACTTGATTCCGAACTTAGGTTTTGCGTGCACATCGATCTTACGGATCTGGTTTATTTGTAACAGACTACCACAGTGGAGAAAAGAATCTAGATGGATAAAACTACTTTTATCAGACACGCGATTCCGCTGCGGCTTTTTTAAGTTTATTCAAACGTTCGTTCAGAGACACAAAGCTCTTCTTCTCGCAGTCTATTACATAATAATTGTTTCTTTCTTTCACAGTCCAATTGTTCACTTCTCCTCAGAAGATGTGCAACTGTCATTCACTCATTCTTGTGGAACTCGCAACCCTCCCGCTCCCTTTTTTAGAGGGGGGGGGGGTGGGGCACGCTTTCCACAACTCTTTTCTGGCTGACCTACGAACTCTTGACCTGTCACATGGGAGAAGAGTTAGCCTTCTTTTTTGCAATCGGTCTCATCGATTTGCTGCAAGATGAGCTGGCTCCATGAACCGGCAGCTCAGCAGCAAGTCTTCAAGGGTTTCCTACAGTTTGTCCTAGACACCTTATTCATCTGGCTATGTGGTGTCTCGCAGATTTTGCTGTAGGGGAAAGTTCTAAAGTAGGTGCTCATGTGGTTTGGTAGGTGCATTGGGTGGATTAAACCCTCAATTATTTATATCAACAAGTAAGCGTCTGACTACTGAGGCTTGGCAACATATGCCTGTAGCTTAAGACAAAATAAACACAGAAGTTACATTTTTATGTCACCTTTGGTCTTCCAATCCAGCTCCAGCCAGGGATCAAGCTATAGTCCAAATAACTGTCTTTATTTTCTAGGGAATGATAAAACAAGATATTTGAGAAACAGCAAAAGCCTCTAGCATCTTAGCGATGTTGTGCTTTGTTTTATTATAAACTGTGACACTCTTTCAGATAATATTATATAGAAAACAGGGGCTCTAGATCGTCATAGCTTGGGCTCTTTGAATGCCCAGCCCATACTTCCCTTGTTTAAATATTTCTTTATTCGTTTCTCTTTATGTCATTTGCACATTATTATTATTACAACCCCTAATCCTCATTCCCGAGAAAATGTCCGAGTTATTTAGTTATAGATATTTTTCTATGTGAACTTAACGTTTTTGATGTACATATAAGTCACATCCCTCCCCCCAATTGTTTTGGTATGTATGTGCGTGTTGGTACACATGATGTGTACCTTATGGCAAGGTTTAATTTGCTAACGTGAGCTTCTCTCTCTCTCTCTCTCTCTCTCTCTCTCTCTCTCTCTCTCTCTCTCTCTCTCTCTCTCTATCTCTCTCTCTCTCTCCCCCCCTCTCTCTCTCTCTCTCTTTCTTTTTTTCTTTTTTTCTCTTCTCTCTCGCTCTATCTCTCTTTCTCTCTCACTTTTCTCTTTCTCTCATTCCTCCTGTACCTTGTACTGCCAAGTTTAAAAATAAGCAGGATGAGAGTGCTCTTGTGTCAGTTGTGTATTTAGGAGTTTGCAGTTTATCAACACAAGCCTCTGCCAAGTCTAATCATGGGAACGAAACTAAGAGAAATTAACAAACGAAACAAAATAGCACTTACTGTCACAAACAAAACAAAATAGCACTTACTTTCTCCTTCTTGAAACACACTAAATACACCGTAGGCGATGCTGGATAAACCACAAATCCAGTAAGTATATCTTTCCCAACGCGGCAAAACATCCACAAACATCTTCAAAGAAAAATAATGCTTTCCTTAGCATCAGAAGTAGTAAAAACCAAGTGTATCCTTATAATAATAATATTTATAAGCTATACTGATTGCAGTTCACTAACATCAAAAAGAAAAACAAAACAACACATGCGGTTCACTTTGACTTCCCATTGTAAGGGCAAAGTAGGCGGGACGGTGTTCAGTTTTAGGGCAGTTGTGGTCACCTTGCTGTTTCACAAATTCGTACCGCAACTGATGTTTCAGCAAAAATAAAAACAACAACAATGAAAAACCAACAAATATTTTGTAAACAAAAAATAAATAAAAGCGCGAATGCAGCCACTTCTGGTTGGGGCACAACCAGGGCCTCACCTTGTAAGATAAAAAGATAGCATCGGTGAAGAAAAGTTGACAAGACTTGTGTGTGTGTACTGTAAGATAAAAGTCAGTTTATTTGATGTTAAGCGACCACATCACGCAAGTTTTAGGGAAATCCCATAGTAAAGGGGAGTTAGGGTTAGTAGTAGTCGCTATTCATTTAACACTAATCCAAACCCTAACCCCCTATTATCATCAGCCATCATCAATTCTTTTTCTGCCTAGTGGCACATGAGGCTTCAGAGAGGACTTTCCATGCTTTTTTTGTCCTGTGCAATCTTCAATGCAGTTTTCCATGTCAAAGATGCCGCACTTAGGTCACTTTCCATCGTTCGTCTCTATGTTGTTTTTGGCCGCCACTGTTTTCTCTTTCCCTCTGGTGTCCACGTGAGAGCTGTTTTGGCAGGTATATCAGGATTCATTCTCATAACGTGGCAAAGCCATTTCCATCTTCTCTTGCTTATCATATTGCCAGAAAACAGCTTGTGTGCATCCTTTTTGGTCATTCTCCAGGGTTCCGCTCCATAAATAAGAACTGGCAAAATGATGCTCTTGTAGAGTCGGAGTTTCTTTCCTCTGAAGTTATCCCCTATACTAAGGGATTTCCCTAAATCTCGCGCGATGTGATGACATTAAAGAAAACAGCCCAAAGAAACTTATAATACAACCATACAGACGACCGGTGGAAAGGGGGAGGGGGACACTCGATCGGACAGCTGGATTAAAAGGAACGGCTAGTTGGTTAGACGGTCATAATGAGTTTTGAAATCGTCATTTTATTTTGTAAAAATCGTAAAGTAACTTATTACACAGCAAATCAGACGGCGTGACTGACAGTCAAGTGGACAGCGAGATAAAGAGACGAGGCGAAACTTTAGGTTAGGGCGATAGTCACGCCAACATTTAGCAGATAGGATGGCTAGATAGTTAACTGAAGCGACTGCTTTTACGCTTTGCCTAGCCCAAGAAAAGACTTCAAAGGGACAACGAGCAGCTTAAGGTCAGTGAAAGAATTATCAAGGAATGTCGGTGGACGACTTGACACGAATTGAATTGACAGCTATCAGTGAAAAAAGTTAACCACAAACTAGCTCAACTGTGAAAAGTGTTACAGGTTAGTCAAGACATCTAACAACTTGAAGCGTAACACGGTCAGAGGATGACTTATCAAGAAAAGTTGTGAAGATGGCCGTCGTGAAGAATTTGACATATTCACTGAAACAAAACCATCGGAAAAGATGAACGCCACATTAACCACATGATAGTTAGAGATATATCAGTTACAGTGGATGACTTAAAAAAAAAGCTTCAAGATGTCTACCTTAAGGAAACCTTAGATCCACAGTGAAACAAAACAAACTGACAAGACGGACAGCAAGCTGGTTGCTGGATCGTTAAAGACATTCCAATTATAGTGCAGAGTAAAAGACTCCAAAGGAAAAGCACATCTAGTGACTTTAGGTGTCCCAGGAATAGTGGTCGAATTACCAAAGAATTTAAGTAAACAACTTATCAAGACCAGTGTACAACTCCAGAAGTGCACTGGGCAACTTAAGGTATTTCCGAAGAGAAGGCCGTTGAGGGACTTGAAGTATTCTAAAGATTGGGTAAGATTGACAAGGAACGTAGTTAAACAACGAGAAGTATACAGATCACCATAAATGTGCCCAGTGGAGAAAAAGAAAGACATCGAGCGATTTAAGCTGTCCCAAGAACAATGCATTTCTTACCAGGGAACATCTGTGAACGACTTACCAAGGAAAACTAGCGAAAAACTTGAGAAGCGTCTTGAGCTATTTAAGGTCGCATAAAGGCGCCATCGAGCAGTGTCCCAAAGGAGAAAAACATCGAGTGATTTAAGGTGTCCAATGGATAGTGGCTACTTCCTAAAGAACTTCTGTAAGTGACTGAAGAAGACCAGAGATCAACTTGAGTTGGGTACTGAGTGACTTAAGGTGTCCCAGAGTAGAAAGGCATTGAGCGGTTTTCCACAGGAGCAAGATATCGAGTGGCCTAAAGTGTTCCCGAGACAAAGGAGGCTTTACCAAGGACTGCCAGTGAACAACTTGCAAAAGGCATAAATAACACGTGAATGGATAGTGACTGACTTACTAAGGAACTTCGATAAACGTCTTACCAAGATGAATTACCAGTTTGAGAAGAGCACTGAGTGATTTATAGTGTCCATGGGCCCCTAAAACCCGCCATCTAACTAGCCGACACGACGTCTTGTTCTTTACTGAGTAGCCACGTCTAACATTGCGATAGAACTCTGCCCGCATTTACCCCAGTTCTCCTTGTTTTGTTTTTTTGTTTTTTAGTAATAAAAAGTGTTGTTGTAACGAAGTTGTGCCCAGCTACACACTAGCTCACCTTTCATTCATGCCTAAAACAGAACGCAGAAAGCTTTCTGAAGACAACAGAGCCGACTTAAAGGAAGGAGGAGGGGGAAGAAGAAGAATAAAAAGAAGAAGAAGAAGAAGAAGAAGAAGAAGAAGAAGAAGAAGAAGAAGAAGAAGAAGAAGAAGAAGAAGAAGAAGAAGAAGAAGAAGAACAGAAGAAAAAGAAGAAGTTAATGACAATGATTATGATAATGATAACGACATTGATCATTGTTTTGATGGAATTGCTACCTCTCACCTTTGCCCGTACTACACAGCTGCCTCCTTATGTAGAATTAGCGCACACGTTAAAATCAACATGTAAGTATAGACGTGAAACAGTGTGCCAAATTTAACGTCTTATTTTCTCCAGGGGTTTTGACATGCAGCCCAGCTATAAAACAATAAAGGGAACCTACAGCCACTTATTTCTACGTCATTAGAAAATCAATGGTAAGAAACTGCGGAAACAGGTGTCTTCTTTTAAGAGGCGTTGAAGGGAGGTGTTCGGTTGCATTGCTAAAAAAAAAAGAAAAAATTCGTTACGTACAACCAGCATTCCCTATTGGGGAGCTTAAGGTTATAGCTGTGACTAGAGTATTTGTGCCAAATAAAATTGCTTACAATAGCAAGCTGCTAAGTGGCCCTGAAAAGGACTCTTGCCGTGTTAATGCGACCAAGGAAGAGACCCAAATACTGTCCCGGCCGTCGTCAACGACCAGCCAGCCAATGGGTGACACAGTCGCCGATATAGCAGGGAGGTAGGGCAAGGGTGGGGAGTTGGTGGGAGGAGGCGGTTAACATGAAATGTTCTTCACCAGGTACTACCTGACTTTGCATTGCCACTGCTTGTACTTATATTGCACAGAATAAACACATCAAATGCTTATTAACAATCTAAAACGCATGCATGCATATATATATATATATATATATATATATATATATATATATATATATATATATATATATATATATATATATATATATATATATATATAGGCTCTCCTCCTAATAACGGGCCAAAATTATCGAAGCTAAAAAAATACCCTAACAGGGCCTCAGTCATATTAAATTGCGGACCTCTTTTCGGCGACTATACCGCTACCGCCGAGGGTATCCCTCGCACCGCCGCCGCCGGCACCGCCACCGCCGCTGCCGCAGCAGACGCTGCAGCAGCCGCCGCCGCAGCATCAGCAGCAGAAGGAGAAGGAGAAGAAGAAGAAGAAGGAGAAGGAGAAGAAGAAGAAGGAGAAGAAGAAGGAGGAGAAGAAGAAGAAGGAGAAAAAGAAGAAGAAGAAGGAAGAGGAGGCTCACAGCCATACATGTATTAATCTCTTTGCCTTCTTGGTTTCTTGCC